TTAGAAATTTGGAAATAAACTTTATTAGAGTTATTTATATAAAAAAAAGAAGTGAATATGTCTAGACTTTAGCACAAGAAAGAAAAATGTTTCATTCCTCACAACTTTGAGCAGGTTTTCCATTACAGTGAGATAGACAAACGGTATGTTCTTCAGGAAGTGATTTACATAATTTCTGTAAGTAAAAGTCATTGCAATATACTTTTTTACTTAGTTTGTGTTTACATGTACATTGTACTTAACATTATATTCTGGAGGTGACATCCTTATAGGACTATGTATCTTTTTGTCTGTACTTGTGACTTGTTTGTCTGTACTTGTGACTTGTTTGTCTGTACTTGTGACGTGTTTGTCTGTATGTGTGACTTGTTTGTCTGTACTTGTGACCTGTTTGTCTGTACTTGTGACTTGTTTGTCTGTAATTGTGACTTTTTGTCTGTATCATTGACTATTGTAAAAATTGTCTGTACTTGAATGTAAGCATTTTGTTGTCTTTCTGAATGATTTCAGTCAGTGATACCTCATTATGTCTGTACCAGGATTACTGAGTAATGGTGGTCATCCCTCATTATGTCTGTTCCAGGATTACTGAGTAATAGTGGTGATACCTCATTATGTCTGGACCAGGATTACTGAGTAATGGTGGGGATACCTCATTATGTCTGTACCGGGATTACTGAGTAATGGTGGTGATGCCTCATTATGTCTGTACCAGGATTACTGAGTAATGGTGGCGATACCTCATTATGTCTGTACCAGGATTACTGAGTAATGGCGGTGATACCTCATTATGTCTGTACCAGGATTACTGAGTAATGGTGCTGATACCTCATTATGTCTGTTCCAGGATTACTGAGTAATGGTGGTGATACCTCATTATGTCTGTACCAGGATCACTGAGTAATGGTGGTCATACCTCATTATGTCTGTACCAGGATCACTGAGTAATGGTGGTGATACCTCATTATGTCTGTACCAGGATTACTTAGTAATGGTGGTGATACCTCATTATGTCTGTACTAGGATTACTGAGTAATTGTGGTTAACACTGATACAGTTTAGCCCTCAGAAAACCAGGCAGACATATACATCTATATACAATGCTATGATTATATACCTGTCAACAGTCTGCAGTAAGTGTGTGCACATATTACACATGTATTGTCTGGTGATATTGTGTCCTCAAAAGATCAAAATGACTAATCATGTAATGCCCTTATATGGTTTGTCTGTAAAGATCAACCTTGGCTTCAAGTAAAATGTGAGGTATGTCCCCCATCCTATGTCTACATACCAGATCTCAACAACCTTAAAGCTAAACCCATAATTAGTACCAAGTCTTCATGTATATTATTGGGTTGCAACACCATTCAAAGTGATAATAAAGGTCTGGCACATTGTAAAAAATTAACACCTTAAATATATATGAATGCAACCAATAATTAGAACAGTTATTTCACAAAATAACATTGATGTGAATGACATGACGTTATCTGTTCATTTACTGTATGTGAATTAAAAATGAATAACTGTGCTACCATATTCAAATTGAATGATATAACTGCATGTGCTACCATATTCAAATTGAATGATATAACTGTGCTACCATATTCAATAATCAGTAGAGTTTATATCAAATGTCCTGTTTTTATGTTGCCCTATATTTTCCAAAATCCTCAACCACCAACTTTCCAACAATTAGGGCAAAGGTCACAAGCTTTCAGAATTTCAATACAATACAATACTCCCTCCCCCCATCCCCTCCACCATTGTGGGTGATGGTCAGTTCAAGGTCTATGCCTCTGAAGTAATCAAGTATTTATATGAAGCTTGAGTGCTGACCGACCAGACAACTCTCTGTCTGAGGCATATCAGCCTCAAATGTATATATTTTATAAGATCTGTATTTTCTTTTCCTGCTATCCAGAAGTTTCAAAGCTTCAAATGAAATACAACCTACATTTGAGGATTGCTGACTGATAACAACAACTTCCATCAGAAAGTGCCAGCTTGGAGGGGGTTAGAGGAAGGAATGTCAGAGCAGGGCCCTATCTGGGGTGATAATCAGGAGGTGCTCTCACCCTTATCACACCCCAGCTGTGGATGTTGTCTCCCCATCCCATACAAAACCCTGCGCTCCCCTAGTGACATTTTAAATTCCAACACATCTGGTGAATTATTTCACACTGATGTTTCTTTAATGTGACACTAATTGTATTTTACATCACAGTTTTATTACGTTCAGAATGTACAGCCACAGAGGTCATGACTGGGCAGCTGGGAGGAGTTAGTATTATAGAGGCATTCAGTTGTACAATCGTTTCAATGTCTTCTAAACACAGCTCAGATATTTATGTCATTTTCGGAAAATTCCAAATTTATCTGCAGTTCTAGTGTTCTACTGTGTAAGACAAAGTTGAAACAAATTTTCAAAATCTGATTTGCATTTGAATGTGTTCCTGACATAATACATGGCTGAGAGCAGACTAGTTACTGTAGAAAACAGATAATGAGCTTTGAATGTACAGCATGATCAGAAAAAGGCACACCAACCCCACAATTACCGTCTCTACTTTTACTTTCTATCAAAATTTCATTGGTAACTTGAGGAAAAGATTATGCATTATAATTTGGTGTGTTGCCATGGGAACAGTGTATTTTGTCTGGGTTTACCCGCTAATGGTGGGGTAACGTACAAGGATAAAGACAATGGTAACATCGATACACGACTGCTAACTTTGTATAACAGGAACATTGAGCCACCAATATTTTAACATAATGTCATATCTTTAAATTTGAATCTGAATGCAACTTTCCTGCACTTGCTGTATGAACATGTTATTGAAAGTATTGTCAGGTTGATAAGGTGTTTATTCAGGTTTTCAAAATCTCACATTTTCTTAAGATATATTCTATTTTCAAGTTTTATAATATTTCTGATGGTCTATGGTAAGTTAGTATGTATATAATATATTTTGTGATTAAAAACTGTCCGATATTTTAAGAACTTATTCGCAACCTAACCTAGCTTAAAATAACAAGGCCTACATGATATTTCAAACCATTATTATCTTAACATAAAAGTTTGGTTTAAATATTGACTACAAAATTACGTCTGGAGATGCTACTCACCTTGGTTGCTAGCTGTGTGTTAGTGTGGGAAGTGTGTGACTGGCTGGTACAATCCCCCTAGGGTTCGGGTCAAGCACTTACTTTGGTATAGCTCTCTAGTACTAGGCAGGAATATGAAAGTTTTACTCATGTGGGCAAGGATATAGGGCTATTATAGTTCACACTACTTACTCACATGTGAGGGTCGGACACCTTTTACTGCATGTAAACTGTCCTTATAGACAAAAAAGTTTCAACACTCAACTGAATTGGTTGTAAAGTGAATTATAGGTTGTACATTGAACTATCAGTTGTACAGCGAACTATAGGTTATACAGTGAACTATAGGTTGTACAGTGAAATATATGTCATAAACTGAACTATAGGTTGTACAGCGAACTATCAGTTGTACAGTGAACTATAGGTTGTACAGTGAACTATATGTCATAAACTGAACAATAGGTTGTACTGTGAACTAGAGGTTGTACTGTGAACTATAGGTTGTATTGTGAACTATAGGTTGTACAGTGAACTATAGGTTGTACTGTGAACTATAGGTTGTAATGTGAACTATAGGTTGTACTGTGAACTATAGGTTGTACTGTGAACTATAGGTTGTACAGTGAACTATAGGTTGTACAGTGAACTATAGGTTGTACTGTTCAGTATTGGTTGTACTGTTCAGTATTGGTTGTACTGTTCAGTATTGGTTGTATTGTGATTAGTGTTGACTTAAACATATTACACAGTTTAATCTTGTAACGCAAATTAGTAATACACTATATAGGTATTAAGGAGTAGCATTAGTAGTAGATGTATCCAGGAAAAGGTACCTATAGTTTTATGGAGAGTTACAAAATGATGAGTTTATGAATAAATTATAAAACATGGGAAAAAAACTGGAAAGAGTTTGTTCCAGTTCTGTGTATGCTACCCTCAGATGCTATCTATCAAAACAGACCAATTACCAGAAAATAAATATTTATCAGGAATTTGGGACCAGAAGGCCAGATAAGAATCACAATTTACCTTGTCTGATATCCCAACCTGTGTGTGGCCTGGCTGGTGTTTGGGGAGGAAGTTGGTCTAGATGTTGTACTGGTCAGTCTGCAGCTGTTCATTTCCACATGCTCAGTACATTTTGTACAATACACAGTGAACTGACTAGATTGGGTACATTCACTCACTAGGTAAGGTACAAAGGCTCTGCTGCCTCTCGTTGACAGGGCTAAGTATATTTTTGTAAAAATAAAAATGAAAATTGAATATATAAATCCATTCTAGATAGATGTTTCTTGTTTCATTTATATAAGGAAATCAAAAATATAAATATCACTATAAATGATGCCATTGGAAGCACGGTCCCACTACAAACAGAACACATTATATCTCCAGCACACACATACGGATATATTAGCCAGGTGGCATAGGACTAGTAGTTAGCGCCTGATAAGGCAACTCCTTCTTCCTTAAAATTGAATTTATTAATGTATATGCTAATTGTATTATTGTATATCTATGTACCGTAAAGCAGAGTGGCTTATGTTAGCTAGATAGGGGGCTATATCAAATGTTGTATATCATTATTATTATTAAAGAGATTCCTACTTCAATCAGCACTAACACTAGTTCATTGTACCAGACGTATTATAGCTATTGAAGAGCTCCACTTGCAATTGCCATGCTATGAAAATGGATATACTCACTTGCACTTCTCAATCATAGTAATAAGTTTCACAGAAAGGGAATTGAGTTTAATCTCTTATTCGTGTGGTGTACTTAATTACCAGCTGTGTAGCATGTAATTGAAAAATCCATCACACATTGTTATGTGTTTTAAATCATGCAGTTTCTGTAAAGATCGTTTTTTGTTTTTTTTTATTGTGCAGCCATTGGTGAAGTTTAAAAGTCATCTGTACTATGAGGAAAAAGATTATGTAACGGAAACAGAGAAGAATCTAAAACCTATTAGGGGAAGTCAGGTAAGTAGCAAAACTGACCCAAGGAGTCCGGTATATAATACAACTGACAGGGAAGCCAGGTAAGTAACAAAACTGACCCAAGGAGTCCGCTATATAATACAACTGACGGGGAAGCCAGGTAAGTAACAAAACTGACCCAAGTAGTCAGCTATATAATACAACTGACAGAGGGAAGCCAGGTAAGTAACAAAACTGACCCAAGGAGTCTGGTATATAATACAACTGACAGAGGGAAGCCAGGTAAGTAACAAAACTGACCCAAGGAGTCCAGTATATAAATCAACTGACAGGGAAGCCAGGTAAGTAACAAAACTGACACAAGGAGTCAGCTTTATAATACAACTGACGGGGGGGAGTCAGGTAAGTAACAAACTGACCCAAGGAGTCCAGTATATAAATCAACTGACAGGGAAGCCAAGTAAGTAACAAAACTGACAAAAGGAGTCAGCTATATAATGCAACTGACGGAGGGAAGTCAGGAGAGTAACAAAACTGACCCGAGGAGTCAGCTATATAAAACAACTGACGGGGAAGCTAGGTAAGTAACAAAAATGACCCAGGGAAGCCAGGTAAGTACAAAACTGACCCAAGGAGTCAGCTATATAATACAACTGACGGGGAAGCTAGGTTAGTAACAAAACTGACCCAAGGAGTCAGCTATATAATACAACTGACGGAGGGAAGTCAGGTAAGTAACAAAACTGACCTAAGGAGTCCGCTATATAATACAACTGACAGGGAAGCCAGGTAAGTAACAAAACTGACCCAAGGAGTCGGCTATATAATACAACTGTCAGGGAAGCCAGGTAAGTAACAAAACTGACCCAAGGAGTCCGCTATATAAAACAACTGACAGGGAAGTCAGGTAAGTAACAAAACTGACCAAAGGAGTCTGGTATATAATACAACTGACAGGGGGAAGTCAGGTAAGTAACAAAACTGACCCAAGGAGTCAGCTATATAATACAACTTGCAGGGAAGCCAGGTAAGTAACAAAACTGACCCAAGGAGTCCGGTATATAATACAACTGACAGGAAAGCCAGGTGAGTAACAAAACTGACCCAAGGAATCAGCTATATAATACAACTGACAGGGAAGCCAGGTAAGTAACAAAACTGACTCAAGGAGTCCGCTATATAATACAACTGACAGGGAAGCCAGGTTAGTAACAAAACTGACCCAAGGAGTCAGCTATATAATACAACTGACAGGGAACCCAGGTAAGCAACGAGAAAGGATATTAGTTAAACAGTGAAGACATATCAAAGGGGATGACAGGCATAGTCATAGGGATGGAACAGTCTAAAGATATATCAATAGGGACAACAGGTAGAGACAGGAACAGTCTTAGTCTATGTCAATGGGGATGACAGGTAGGGACAGGAACAATCTTAAGCTTTATCAATGGGGATGACAGGTAGGGACAGGAAGAGTCTTAGTCTATATGAATGGAGATGACAGGTAGGGAAAAGAACAGTCTTAAGCTATATCAATGGAGATGACAGGTAGGGACAGTAACAGTCTTAAGCTATATCAATGGAGATGACAGGTAGGGACAGGAACAGTCTTAGGCTATATCAATGGGGATGACAGGCAGGGAAAGGAACAGTCTTAAGCTATATCAATTGGGATGACAGGTAGGGAAAAGAACAGTCTTAAGCTATATCAATTGGGATGACAGGTAGGGACAGGAACAGTCTTAAGCTTTATCAATGGGGATGATAGGTAGAGACAGGTACAGTCTTAAGCTATATCAATGGGGATGACAGGTAGGGACAGGTACAGTCTTAAGCTACATGTATGTCAATGGGGATGACAGGAAGGGACAGGAACAGTCTTAAGCTATATAAATGGGGATGATAGGTAGGGACAGAAACAGTCTTCAGCTATATAAATGGAGATGACAGGTAAGGACAGGAACAGTCTTAAACTATATCAATGGAGATGGCAGGGAGGGACAGGAGCAGTCTTAAGCTATATCAATGGAGATGACAGGTAAGGACAGGAACAGTCTTAGTCTATATCAATGGAGATGACAGGTAGGGACAGGAACAGTCTTAATCTATATCAATGGAGATGACAGGTAGGGACAGGAACACTATATCAATGGAGATGACAGGTAGGGACAGGACCAGTCTTAGTCTATGTCAATGGGGATGATAGGAGGGGACAGGAACAGTCTTCAGCTATATAAATGGAGATGACAGGTAAGGACAGGGACATTCTTAAGCTATATCACTGAGGATGACGGCTAGGGACAGGAACAGTCAGGAACAGTCTTAAGCTATATCAATGGAGATGACAGGTAGGGACAGGGACATTCTTAAGCTATATCAATGAGGATGACGGCTAGGGACAGGAACAGTCTTAGTCTATATCAATGGAGGTGACAGGTAGGGACAGGAACAGTCTTAATCTATATCAATGGGGATGACAGATAGGGACAGGTACAGTCTTAAGCTATATCAATGGATATGACAAGTAGGGACAGGAACAGTACTAAGCTTTATCAATGGGAATGACAGGTATTGACAGCAACAGTCTTAAGCTATATCAAAAGGGGTGACAGTTAGGGACAGGTACAGTCTTAATCTATATCAATGGGGATGACAAGTAGGGACAGGGACAGTCTGAATGTATATCAATGGAGATGACAGGTAGGGAAAGGAACAGTCTTAAGCTATATCAAAGGGGGTGACAGGTAGGGACAGGGACAGGCGGAAGCTATATCAATGGGGATGATAGGTAGGGACAGGAACAGTTTTAAGCTTTATCAATGGGGATGATAGGTAGGGACAGGAAGAGTCTTAAGCTATATCAATGGAGATGGCAGGTAGGGACAGGAGCAGTCTTACGCTATATCAATGGATATGAAAGGTAGGGACAGGAACAGTCTTAGTCTATATCAATGGAGATGACGGCTAGGGACAGGAACAGTTTTAAGCTATATCAATGGGGATGATAGATAGAGACAGGTACAGTCTTAGTCTATATCAATGGAGATGACAGGTAGGGACAGGGACATTCTTTAGCTATGTCAATGGGGATGACGGCTAGGGACAGGAACAGTATTAGTCTATGTCAATGGGGATGATAGGTAGGGACAGGAACAGTCTTAGTCTATATCAATGGAAATGACAGGTAGGGACAGGAACAGTCTTCAGCTATATAAATGGGGATGACAGGTAGGGACAGGGACATTCTTAAGCTATTTCAATGGGGATGACGGCTAGGGACAGGAACAGTATTAGTCTATGTCGATGGGGATGATAGGTAGGGACAGGGACAGTCTTCAGCTATATAAATGGAGATGACAGGTAGGGACATGAGCAGTCTTAAGCTATATCAATGGGGATGATAGGTAGGGACAGGGACAGTCTTCAGCTATATAAATGGGGATGACAGGTAGGGACAGGAACAGCCTTAGGCTATATCAATGGAGATGACAGGGAGGGACAGGGACATTCTTGAGCTAAATCAATGAGGATGACGGCGAGGGAAAGGAACAGTCTTAGTCTATGTCAATGGGGATGATAGGTAGGGACAGGAACAGTTTTAAGCTATATCAATGGAGATGATAGATAGAGACAGGTACAGTCTTAGTCTATATCAATGGAGATGACAGCTAGGGACAGGGACATTCTTTAGCTATGTCAATGGAGATGACGGCTAGGGACAGGAACAGTATTAGTCTATGTCGATGGGGATGATAGGTAGGGACAGGAAAAGTCTTCAGCTATATAAATGGAGATGACAGATAGGGACAGGAGCAGTCTTACGCTGTATCAATGGAGATGACAGGTAGGGACAGGAACAGTCTTAAGCTATATCAATTGGGATGACAGGTAGGGAAAGGAACAATCTTAATCTATATCAATGGGGATGATAGATAGAGACAGGTACAGTCTTATGCTATATCAATGGGGATGACAGGTAGGGACAGGGACATTCTTAAGCTATTTCAATGGGGATGACGGCTAGGGACAGGAACAGTCTTAGTCTATGTCAATGGGGATGATAGGTAGGGACTGGAACAGTCTTCAGCTATATAAATGGAGATGACAGGTAGGGACAGGAACAGTCATAATCTATATCAATGGAGATGACAGGTAGGGACAGGAACAGTCTTAGTCTATATCAATGGGGATGACAGGTAGGGACAGGAACAGTCTTTAGCTATATCAATGGGGATGACAGGTAGGGACAGGGACAGTACTAAGCTTTGTCAATGGGAATGACAGGTAGGGACAGGAACAGTCTTAAGCTATATAAATCGGGATGACAGGTAGGGACAGGAACAGTTTTAAGCTTTATCAATGGGGATGATAGGTAGGGACAGGAACAGTCTTAAGCTATATCAATGGATATGACAAGTAGGGACAGGAACAGTACTAAGCTTTGTCAATGGGAATGACAGGTATTGACAGGAACAGTCTTAAGCTATATAAATCGGGATGACAGGTAGGGACAGGAACAGTTTTAAGCTATATCAATGGGGATGACAGGTAGGGACAGGAACAATCTTAAGCTTTATCAATGGGGATGATAGGTAGAGACAGGTACAGTCTTAAGCTATATAAATGGGGATGACAGGTAGGGACAGGTACAGTCTTAAGCTACATGTATGTCAATGGGGATGACAGGTAAAGAGACAGAAATAATCTGTATATTTAGAAATGTGGACTTTAGGTTGAAACTGCCAATAAGCATTAAGAAGGGGTATTTTACTGTGAGTCACATGGGTTGCATGTGTGACTATACTGATTGTAAGGGCGTGTGCAGACTTTACACAGATGCCCAGATAACACAGACTAGAAATCACATGGTATAACAGGTAATCTGCTTATGCGTAATGAAAAATGTATGTACAATAATTCAATTAACTTGGTAATTCTGTAATGTAATAAAGGTTTATTTATTGATGGTGTATTATATCCTGTAAACAGTGACCTGACAGGATTAGGGAGGGTGTGGTGTTTTGTTTTGGAAAGGATTGCATTAGACGACATAGCCTAGGTTAATTGGACAGCTGGTATACAGTATAACAACCATTGGAAAATTAAAAAGAAAAGTTAACAAAAAAGATATATTCATATTCATGCCCCTAAGACAAGAAATAGACAGAACATTACCCACGCCCATATGTGTGTAATTTTGTCTCACTCCATCCTCCGTGCTTTTTACTGCCTTCACTATTCATTTTGTTGTTGCTTTGAAATTTTGTGCTAGTAGTAAGTACACAAATACATAAAGTTCCCATTTAGGTAGTGGATCCATAGCAGTCCATGGTGGACATAAACAGAAAATATTTCTTATCATTAGGGCCCCGTGTCTGTCTGTCTGTCTGTCCGTCCACAAATTTTGTTCCTGACTGATAACTTTTGTATTTATTGACCTATGTACATGAAACTTGGTCAAGATGTTCAGTTCACAAAAATACACATTGAGGTAAAAAGTCAAGGTCAAATTTAACATCTTTTCACTGATGAACATTTTGTTATGACATGATGAAGCAAAGTTGATCAGAATTAAACAATGAGTCAACTGACCCAAGGTCATCAGGTCAGGGGTCAAGGTCAAATTTTTGTAGCTTTTCACTGGTGAACATTTCGCTATGACATTATGAAGCAAAGTTGTTTGGAATTAAACAAAGAGACACACTGAGATAAAAAGTCGAGGTCAAAGGTCAAGGTAATTGGATTCAAAGGTCAAGGTCAATTTTTGCATTTTTTCACTGATGAACATTTTGTTATGACATGATGAAGCAAAGTTGATCAGAATTAAACAAACAAGGAGTCAACTGACCAAAGGTCAAGGTCATTGGGTCAAAGGTCAATGTTAAATTTTGTATCTTTTCACTGGTGAACATTTCGCTATGACATTATGAAGCAATGTTGTTCAGAACTGAACACAGAATCAACTGACCTTAGGTCCAGGTCACGGGGTCCAAAGGTTCAAGGTCAAGTTTTGTATTTTTCACTGATGAACATTTTGTTATGATATTAAGAAGCAAAGTTGGTCGGAATTAAAGAATAAGTCAACTGACCAAAGATCAGGGTAACTGGGTTAATGGTCAAGGTCTTTTGTGTCCAAAGGTCAAAGACAATGTGGATCTCTGACTTTGACCCTGGCTCTTGATAGATTGCACCGGTATTTACATTTCTGTTAGCCCAGCAAATATGGAGGTGGAAGGAAACAAGACTCACATCATAGTACATGTAAAATGTATATTTTGCTTATGTCAAACGTCAAGCTCAGCTACATGTATATGGGCAGATTGCTTCTTGGTGATTATGGAGGATATATTGCCACAAGACGGGGCCCTTACTGACCTGTCAGTGTTCTAGTTTATCTTGATGATTATGGAGGATATATTGCCACAAGACGGGGCCCTTACTGACCTGTCAGTGTTCTAGTTCTACTGATTGTAATTTACTTCCAATTTGACTGAAACATTATTCCAACGTTCAGTAAACAAATATTCAGAATGAGGTCACAGTTCAAGGATGTGAATCCAAGGTCAGGGTCACTTACTATAAATAGAAATCTGTCATCACTCCATTGACATTGTTTTACTGCTGATTTGAGAAACATTATTTATTACATTTTTGCCAGTGAAATATTGAATTTTATGGACTTTATAAAAATGATTTATTTCATATTGTGACAAAAAAACACTCTTGGAGTTGACCAATCAGAATGGTATTTTCTATTCACTTCATTCACAGTTCACAGATTTTCTGTCAAGATACAGATGAAGTGACGGTAGAATTAATGGTTGTTTTATACATCTTTAAAATAAAAGAAAGGGAAAAAGAAAGTTTTCAGTTGTAATATGTAGCATGTTGTTGTTGCAGATGATTATGTACAAGAATGGCGTCTCACAGGGGATAGCCTTCGAGGATGTATATGAGGGCTGGTACTATCCCTGTATATCCCTGTATAAAAATACTAAGGTGAGTACTGCAGGCAAATCATTAGTTGGGCAAACAGAAAAATAGACTTGGTTTAAACCTAGTAGGTTAAGATTGGTTTATATTCTTATTATTTATCCTATTTTTCTTGTTATAAATTAGATTTGTTGAAATAAAATATGGAAAGTATGATATAAGAGGCAATCTTATTGCATTTTGGTATGCTTCAAAATTCTTTGTAACCTGTACCAGGACATTCGGATTTCTATGTATGGAGACAGGATGAGTACACCAACACCAGTGAAATAGGCGAGTCTCAACTGATGTACAGTTAATACATAGGTAAATTTGTAAGTACATGTTATTGGGGGACTGCATTTGTTCCATTTGTTCATTGTAAGGTGTATCTAGTAGATTATACATCCCAGGGCTAGAAAGGTTTCTCAGGCTTAATGTTAGCTTCATTATAGACTCACACTCACACTGATTTAGTCATGATCCCTGCCCCTTAATCTTATATACAATTTCTGGGCAGAAAGAAATAAACACAATCATGCTACCAGAATTGTCTCCTGGGTAATGATATACAATTTCTGGGCAGAAAGAAATAAACACAATCATGCTACCAGAATTGTCTCCTGGGTAATGTCTTGCCCTTTTGGACTTGGTCCCTAGATCATGAAGTGAATTGATAGAGAACCTCAGTTTATAACCATAAATGTGATTTGCTGAGCATGCAGAGACAAACATAATCATGCTACCAGGATAAAAAGGGGGTGCTGCCCTGCTCTAGCAGGCTTATTATCAATACTACTTTTAATAAAAAATAATTTGCGATGGTTTCTTAAATATCCAGATGAGCGTTAGTGTTAGCGTTAGCGTTTGAACAACACCAGCTGTTGAGGTGATATGGGAGTCTCTGGTTGATATATGATAGCAAATATTGACTTGTAATGTATTTTCTTGTTTTCTAGGTGACTGTTAACTTTGGACCAGATTTTAAGTATGCTCCACAGGGTCTGAAGGGTTTTAGGCCTGTAAGTATCTCAGCAAATATTGTATTTATTGTATAGAATGTAGAGATTGTTTATAAATATTACATGAATTTTGTATACAGCTTAACGTTATTATTTCCTTGCAATTTGAAAATAATTCCTTAATAAAATGGAAACACATCCAAGCAAGATACAACGTCAGTCTAGGGTTTCATTGGACACGTTTTTACCAGTATCCCTGTTTTACTTACCTTGTTTGGCAGACATTTTGTTATAACAGAACCAAAACAACTAGTTTTATTCTGTTTCTACATCAGAATGTATGTTTTAGCAGGTCAGCAGTGAAAGATGGAGCTGTGTTGTTAGGGCTCTGATGTAACAGGTCTGACAAACTTACTGACACCAGAATATTGATTATGTTTCCAGCAATACCCGAGATTGACATGTTTAGAAAAAACTTTGTAAACCCTCAATATCCTGCTCACATATGTATCTCGTATTTGTAAAGATCAACTAATCAGTCTATAAAGTGACAAAAACACAAAAAAACTAATAAAAAGGTCAGCGTGAAATTACTATCTTTGTAGACTGAAAGCCTATTATTGCCTTCACCTAATTTAGCCTCCTGTAAGTGTGATGAATTTGTGTTTCAGATGTCGGATGCAGCGTCCCAGACCATGATCGAGTATGCTCTCGCTGATATTTTGTACCATGTGGAAAATGAAGGCAAGCTGCCAGAGTTTTGATTGAACATTGCAAAAAGATTGAACATCAAAGATTTTATGAACAAAAGTGTGAAAAATAGGTAATACAACAGATGTGTCAGGCCACACTGAACCGAGAATGGAACAAAGGACTGGGCTTAAAGTATATAACAGATTGGTCAAGCTGCACAGACTGAACAGAAGGACAAAGATGATTATTAACTAATCAATTCAAACAGTTTACATTGTTGTCCTCTTTATACCACATTCAGTTATGAAATCTCTTATCATTTGGTCAGTGAGTTGTCATATTCTTAAAGTTTTCACTTTAACAGTAAGTAGACAGTTCAGAATACCAAATGATATTGTTTAAGAAAGATGAGTACTCTTTGTGGAATTCAAAATGTTTATCTGGAAAGTTTAGAAGGAAACAAAAAACAGTCATTACGTATAATTTGTGACACACCATGAAAGTTATAGGAGACACCAGACCAGCAGTATGTGTCAGCCAAGTTTAATGTTGTTCAAGCCTGGTACTACATGTAGATGTATTATGAAATTCTATTATTTGATGACAACGGTATGAAATGAAATGACAGAGTGTGCTTCCATGATAGACCATTAGAAGCCAAAGTCGGCTAAAATCTTTCAAAAATGTATCCATCAAGATGAATAGTAAATATATTGATACAAATTACTATAAAAAATAAATTGGAATGTGCAATACTCATCATCAGCCTAGTTCTTAGTATCAGACCAGTCACCTTCTAGGTGAGGGGAGATAACTGCATCGCCCAGAAACGTTGTGTGACAATGTTCATGAGTTTATTGTTGCAGTATTTATATACTCAGTCTCATTCTGTTAAGTCTTCAAACCTTTATGTTCATTATCGGTAAATCAAATTTACAATATATTTCTCAAGTTTTCCATGGTTCTGTTGGTGTTACATATAATATGTTCATTTTAAACATAGATAAAACTGCTGGAGACTTTTTCAGTATTTTTTCCTCAGAAGATATATTCCTGGAGAGAGACTTACATTTATTGTATGTGTGCTGTACACAAATGGAATACATGTAGGTCCTTCTCTGTCAAATATGTGCTGTAGTATACTGGTAATTCTTCACTCATATCGTTTCATAAAATCATGTATGTGAATACTTAAAAAAGTATTTGGCAAAAACAGCTTAGTCCCCACCACACTTCCTAAGGAGACTATGATTTTACCCTCAGTTTGTTAGTCTGTTAATTTGTCTGGGGCATACCTGATATACTCTGTTACCTACATATGACAATTTTTTTTAATGCAAATACCTCTTAGTGGAGTGTCACAGATATCCGGTCGTTTGTTAACTACATACCAAGCTATATAGCCTTTTGTTCATCAATCCTCATTTTTGCCTTGGGCATATCTCTGACTGTAGCCTACAATTGCCAAACTTTTTATGTGAGTACCTGTAGGGATAGAGAAGTGTCACAAACTGAAGGTCAGTCTCATGACCTGTTCTATACAGAGTTATGGCCCTTTTTTCTGTCGTTTTGACTGGGGCATATATACACTGTCACCTTCAATGGTACCAAATTTTGTTTGTGACTAGCTCTTCAGATGGTGGTTAGAATACTGCAATTGGATTTCTTACTTCACTATACACAGAGTTATTTCATTCACCATCTGTCATTTCATCCAGGGCATTTCATATAATTGTACCCTACTATTGCCGTAGTTTGTATGAGAGCACCTATTGTACTGACAAAGTGTCACATGTTGAAATGGTATCTCATGAGTCATTAACCCTTTGTTCATCCCGAGTCACTTTGTCCAGGACATCTTTCATATACTCTTGTTGCCATCGATTGCCAAACTTTTATGCGAGGACCTCTTTGGGTGGCAGTGCTTTGCATGTAAAAAAAATTGTCCTTTGCCCCGCTAGGTACAAGGTGGTTTTTTGCCAACGTATGCTCAGCAGTTGATGACTGGTTTGCTTGAATACATTGCCCTGTTTTCAATCCATATTAACAGACTTATATTCCTTGTTCAAATGTGTCGACATAACAGGAAATGTAGTGATGATTTCAAAACCTCACTTCTCAGTAGACAATACCACTGTGCAGACGTTAGTACAGATCTTGTTTTATATGACTGGTGTGTAAGGTGCAACAGGAATGAGTGTTTTCTACCTTGTATGTAGTATGTTTTATCTAAAGCATGGAATTTGTAGTGATACCATACAAATAACAATCGTAAGATATGTCTTTAACATTAATCAATAAATACATAAAAGCAATGTCTTTTGTCTTCAATCCTTGTAATACACCAGGTGCAGTAGAGGGAACCTTTTACTCTGGGAAAGATCCAAACAAAAACTTTTAGAATTGAGCTTCACTTAAATGTTGTGTTTAAATCCTGTAGTTCTTACAGAGCTATAAGCATGTAGAGAATTTTCTCTAAAAGGCCATCAGATTCAGATTCTTTATTAGCTGAGAGCCTTACGACTCAATAGTGGGTGTGTTACCTTAATCCCTTTTGATCTTGTAAAAGTACAACCTCTATAGCCACAAGTTGACTTCTGTGTTGAAATTGAAATATTGACCACTAGTCCTAAAATAGGTACAGCATCCATTTGTATATACATTTATATACAGAAATGCTCTGAACAGTTAATTACAGGGATTTATCCTGACTAATTGTGAAGTAATTAATAGGATTCTGACCTCCACAGCTGAAATTGTTCTTGATGAGGTGGCTCAACAATAAAGGCGGCATATTGTCAAGTGATAGTTCACTTATGTTTAAGTGTTAATGAAATCTCTTCAGTAAAAGTGATTTGAACTTTGTTGTCAATTTGTTACTTGGCCTTAACAGGATCTAAATACTGCCTCCTCACTGCTAAATGATGCTAATATGCATGTTTTAATTTTCATCAATTGTTTTTTATCATTCTTATTAAGCACTAAATATATACACATATATAACAATACAAGAAGCCCAGGGGCCCTAATGCTCTCATGAGTTAAAATTGAAAATGTCTCACTCAATAAGAGGCCACTGTGACCATCTTTGATTTTAGGATTGACATGAACAGTGACAACATCTGTTAGAACCTCTTAAAGAAAATTTAAACAAAATTTTGAGTCAATCCATGCAGCTGTTCTTGAGAAGTTGAAAATGTCACAGCTAATCAGACACTAGGGTGGTCATCTTCATTTTCTGATTGGCCTGAAAAGTAAGAACACTTGCTGGGTACCAAACAAGTAATATTTGTACCAAGTTTGGAGTCCATCAGTGTAGCTGTTCCCGAGAGGTTGAAAAAGTCTCTCCCATTCAGAGGCCTGGATAAGCATCTTGAAGTTTTAGCTTGGCAAAAGAACAGTAAAAAAAAAGTTCAATCATGACAGAACAGTTAAAAGAAAGAACACTTGTTTGAAACCTCACCAAGTTTGAAGTCAATTATTTCAGTTATTCTTGAGAAGAAGATGAAAATGTTGGTCAACACTTGGGCAGCCATCTTGGATTTTCAGATCAGAATGAAAAGCAATGTCACTTGTTTGGAACCTCATTAGAAACATGTGTAACAAGTTTGAAGTCATTTGCTTAAGCCATTCTTGAGAGAAGTAGAAAAATGTTTCAGCCATTCAGAGATCATGGTGGCCATCTTGGATTTTTGAACTGGCACTAATAAATAAAAAGACTTGGTTTGGACATCATAAGGAATCTTTTTACCAAGTTTCAAGTCAATAACTTCAGCTATCAATGAGAAGAAATTGAAAATGTCCCAGCTGTGGTAGTCATCTTGAACTTTCAGATCAGCACGAAAATTAAAAACACTTGTTGGGGGCCTCATAAGGGACACTTGTAAATTTCTGAAGAAGTCAAAGTGTAAATTGTTAACACATGACAACAGACAAAACATGGCAAAAGCTCACATGTATAGATTCCATTTTCACCTTTGACCTGACATTATGACCTCGACCTTTAAATGAGCCTCTGAAAAATCTCCATGTTACAATGTAAATTGCCTAGTATCAGGTTGTCAGACAAGCAGGGGAAATCCTCAACCACTTGTTTCTCTTTTGAGTTATGGTCCCCAAACAACAGATCCATAGCTGTGAACTACTAATTACAGCTGAACTAAATACAATTATTACAGCAGGTGCAACACTAACTACCTCGGGATGGACAATACCAACTTTCTACCTCGGGCTGGACAATTCCAACTTTCTACCTCGGGCTGGACAATTCCAACTTTCTACCTCGGGCTGGACAATACCAACTTTCTTCCTGGGGCTGGACAATACCAACTTTCTACCTTGGGATGGACAATACCAACTTTCTACCTCGGTCTGGACAATATCAACTTTCTACCTCGGGCTGGACAATTCCAACTTTCTTCCTCGGGATGGACAATACCAACTTTCTACCTTGGGCTGGACAATCCCAACTTTCTACCTCGGGCTGGACAATATCAACTTTCTACCTCGGGCTGGACAATTCCAACTTTCTACCTCGGGCTGAACAATACCAACTTTCTACCTCGGGCTGGACAATATCAACTTTCTACCTCGGGCTGGACAATTCCAACTTTCTACCTCGGGCTGGACAACACTTATCATTTCTGCTATTCTAACCCAAAATTATTAGTAAAGTAAAGTTCTTCATATACATGTACTTCAAGTCCCACCTTTGAATGATGGTTCACATGTATTTGAAGTTTCTTCAAAATATTTCCATTCATTAAGAAGTTTTACTTCAACAACTATAAAATGTTAAAAGACTTGGGGTTGTTATACTGTAATACTTACTGTAAACACACTTATTGTATCAGTAAAATCTAGTGACTCAATTTCAGGGTCAACATATAACATATATAATAGATGAACATTTGATTAATCTCCTGAATATAAAGTGAACAAACACTTAAAACATAATGAGGTGTCATGATTTTATTCGTTACTGCGGTGCTAGTGTAGAGTGAGACCTAGTCCTGACTGGAATCTATAGAAACCATAGCAACTTGCCAATCCATGGAGGCCATAGCAATGGAAACCATAGCAACTCACAAATACCCTAACAACATTACATTTTGCAGGAACAGAGATTGAGTGTCATAGCATGCAATTGTCATAATTAACTTCTTGACCTAGAGGTAGCGTTTGTATGTTGCTAGCATTATGAATTTAAGGAATAGAGGTTTAGTATTACTGTACACTTTTATCATCCAAGATGTTTTCACCTGGAGGTAGTAATTCTACACTGCTTGTATTGGTCATTATCAATAATTGTCATGTTTATATTTATGGTGGATGATCTAAAAACAAACAATGATAAGTTATGAGAACATAAAACAAAATGTGCATTCTAACAGTACTGAGATCAATAATAAATGATTGTATATAGCCATCTTTCCCTTATTCCTTTAGATATCAAAATGATAAGTATGATGTTCCTTTATACAAATTTAAATCCTTGTACAATGTACATAATCAGACACTTCTGATCCACTACATCAAACCTCTTCTCATGTTCACTTGATTCACTTCATTACACAAATACTGATTACTGGAAGTTTGTCTTCTATATCTAAGATTTAGCCAATCACCTAACTGGTGCATGACACTACAGAATCTTTCAGAATTAGCCAATTATTTAACTGGCAAAAATACATAATCATTCATATTCAGCCAATCATCATAGAATCTCAGGAAACAGCCATTAAGCTAACTGCATGGAGACAGAATCAGTTATATTTTTTTTTTCTCTGATATTCCTAAAGAGTAAACATCAATTTAGAATTGATTAATATTGGTATTTTATGAAATGTTATAGCAAATCTTGCGATACATTTTACAGGATAACAGTTGTGTGAAATTGAGAATTGGAAACCATAAACAAAGCACAGTATCAAAATGAAAGATGAATACCTTATCAAGAGAAGTATCTCTGAACCAAACACACTGTTGTTGCTATATTTTCTATATACAAGGGAGATTACTCCCAAGTCAAAAGTACAAAACCTCAGAAGTGGAACTCTTCTTCACAATTATCATTTGTGAAATTTTGAGAGAACTAAAACAATTGCTTGCAACCAGTAATATTGATTTGAATTTTGACAAACAGGAATTTATATTTGGACAATTCAGTTCTAAGGATGCTGATTTGATAGTGGATAATCTTATCCTATTATTGATTAAACAATACATTTTTAAAATGAAATGTCTAGAAATGGAACTTAATATAACAAGTTTAAAGAATCACATTCTTTTTGAACTTAAATCTCATAAGATCTTGATAATTAAGCACAAAAACTGCAAAAATAATATAGCCTTGCTTAATAAAGTAGAAAAATGGCTTCTCTTATAAAATAATGTGAACAATTATCATTATACTATAAAGAAAAGTTTGCAATCCCCCCTGTGAGTGTGTATGTGTATGTGTGTACAGAATATAATTGGTCTCTTGTAAAGAGGTGTCCGTTGTGAAGGGAATTGTAATCAATGTAATGTATGCTTGTTGCTTTGTGTGTAAATGTGTTGTTTATAAAAAAGAAAATTGAATAAAAAAAAAAAATTAAAAATAAATAAATTTAGAATTGATTAATATTGGTATTTTATGAAATGTTATAGCAAATCTTGCAATACATTTTACAGGATAACAGTTGTGTGAAATTGAGAATTGGAAACCATAAACAAAGCACAGTATCAAAATGAAAGATTAATACCTTATCAAGAGAAGTATCTCTGAACCAAACACATTGGTGTTGCTATATTTTCCTTATACAAGGGAGATTAATCCCAAGTCAAAAGTACAAAACCTCAGAAGTGGAACTCTTCTTCACAATTATTATTTGTGTAGTGCTGGGCTTTACCTTAACTCCTCAGGTTTTATACTTCCCTGCATTAGGAGGTTCTGTCCAGGATACTATTACGTCAATTTGATTTTTCATTCTTCCAGTTTTTACTTGATTCATCAGACCTTGATTCAAGACTACATAAATCAATAATAAAGTACATGCATAACTATATGATTTCAATGCTGAGAAAGTTCAACCAATAATAGACTTCACTTTGAATTATAGATCTATAGTGTACCAGATACAGTAGATCTATAGTGTACTGGATACAGTAGATCTATAGTGTACCGGATACAGTATATCTATAGTGTACGGGATACAGTAGATCTATAGTGTACTGGATACAGTAGATCTATAGTGTACTGGACACAGTAGATCTATAGTGTACCAGATACAGTATATCTATAGTGTACGGCATACAGTAGATCTATAGTGTACCAAATACAGTAGATCTATAGTGTAGCGGATACAGTATATCTATAGTATACGGGATACAGTAGATCTATAGTGTACCAGATAAGTAGATCTATAGTGTACGGAATCCAGTAGATCTATAGTGTACCAAATACAGTAGATCTATAGTGTAACGGATACAGTATATCTATAGTGTACTGGATACAGGAGATATATAGTGTACGGGATACAGTTGATATATAGTGTACGGGATACAGTTGATATATAGTGTACGGGATACAGCAGATCTATAGTGTACTGGATATAGTAGATCTATAGTGTACTGGATGCAGGAGATCTATAGTGTACCGGATACAGTATATCTATAGTGTACTGGATACAGTATATCTATAGTGTACAGGATACAGTAGATCTATAGTGTATCAGATACAGTAGATCTATAGTATACTGGATACAGTAGATCTATAGGGTACTGGATACAGTAGATATATAGTGTACCAGATACAGTATATCTATAGTGTACCGGATACAGTATATCTATAGTATACGGGATACAGTAGATCTATAGTGTACGGGATACAGTAGGTATATAGTGTACGGGATACAGTAGATATATAGTGTACGGGATACAGTAGATCTATAGTGTACTGGATACAGTAGATCTATAGTGTACCAGATACAGTAGATCTATAGTGTACTGGATACAGTAGATGTTTATCTTACTGGATCTTCTGGTTTCCCCTACACTCATCGCTAAAAAATACACTGAGATTGCACAAGTCCATAATGTCAGGTTCAAAGGTCACTGGACTCACTGTCCATTCCTATAAACCTTTCTTAGTTCATTTATCAGGCTAACAAGTATTGGATTCCCGCCTTGTTCCTCTATAAGCTTCAGGAGCCTGAAATACACAAAGAAATTTCAATTCAAGGACCTTGCCTTCCTAATCAAATACATTCAAACAGGTAAAATTATATAAACTGTGGAATTGTTCAGCTGAAATGCAAATTATCAAATAATATTTGCTTGATTTATACCTAATGCTATACAAAAGCACCGTGGTTTCTTCCCTGGTGATTAGAGTTTGGACATCTGTCCATACAACAAAGAAATGTCTTAAATTCATTTTAGTGCAATTCAGATAATAAGCGGATGAAGGATTGATTTCCAAAATTTCCAGTTGTCATCATGCACAAGTTATTTATCTTGGCCAACAAACTTTAACTCCTGTTAGATATGTAGCTAAGTGCAAGGTTAAAAGCGTGATTTAACATATCTCAGCTCTTTGGGCACTACCTTTCTTCCAGCTCTTCAAGTGTCGTTCTTGTATAAGAAAAAGATCCTAGTTTTTCTAAAACCTCAACACAGTATTTTTTGACATCGTTATCAGTTGTCTTTTGTCGTAGTATATCTTGTAGTGGTCAAGGATAAACAAATATGTTTTACATTCTAATTCAGTTAACTTATTCACCCCTAAAGAAACATTTGAACTCCTTCAATTCAAAGGTTGGAATAGTCCATTATGAAATTTCAGGGGTGAATGAGTTAATACATGTTAAATACCAGTCCAAGTGTTATTACCATACAAGTCAAAAAGAGTATAATTGTTTTATACATATACAGAGTATATACATATATATATACAAAAACAGAACAACTGTATTATACATGTACAGAAGTCAAATTATAGAGATGACCCTAAAATACTAAATGTTGCCCCATTGCTATAAGGATACTGAGGACTTGGTTGTTATTGGGACTGGTCCTGATGCCGTGGATGATTGGGAACGAGAATTTGCCCTCTGTCAGGTCCTCACAGTAACTCTTATTGGCTTCGTACTGGAATCAGATCAAGGAAAACATATCTCAGAATTCTTACTTATCTTAAGTGAAAATGTAGTATCTGGATAAAGTTTAACATCAAACGTTGTTTTCCTCTCAATCCTAGACACATTACACTGGGATTGTTAAGTCACCAACCTCTCACCAATGGGGTAGGACATCATAAACAACCACACTTAGTCTTAATTCAAACACTGATTATATCTGGCATACCTTTAAAATCTTATCATGCTCAAAGAACAATCCAAATGCAGAAAAAATGTTGATGGTATATCTGCACCTGGCTTCTTTTCAAATCAAATGACTGAATTTTACAAAAAAGCTATACAGGAAAGTTGAAAACCTTTGGCCATAATATATTTGTTAGTCCATCAGCATATTTTATTAAAACCACATGGTAATTGCAATATATATACAATCAGATGTGATCCTTTCCATCAAAAAACATGTCACAGTATTACTTCCTACAGCGTACAGGTAGCAGGCTATAAAACACTTATAAAACTCAAAGAAAGGTGCCCACCAAAAAAG